ACATTTAAAGCGAACATTAGCTATGAATTTACCAGGGACTTACACAAGCAGCTAGTGCAACGACACAACCTGATGTAATTCATGACCTCTGTAGATTTACAGAGAGAGAGAGAGAGAGAGAGAGAGAGAGAGGGCGAGAGAGAGAGGTTTGAGACCTTGGAACCCACTGTGTGTATTTAAAGAGAAAGAGTGCTTAGTGTGTATTCAGAGAGAACATCTTTACAGCGAGATGCTGATTGAGAGCTCTGTTGTAACTCCCCGGAGCTCAGTTCAAGGTCAGTGAGTCAGAGGCAACAGGGATGCAGAGGAGAGGGTGATGTGTCATGTCGCTCTCATTCTCTCTGGCCCTGTCTGTTTCTTTCTCTCTCCCTCGCTCATCCTCTTATTCTCTCCCTGCCCCCTCCGTCTGGCTGTGTGCCCCCCCCTCTCTCTCTGCCCTCAGATCAAGGCCTATGTGAGCAAATCCTCTCCAGTGGCTTACAGCAGACCCTCCATTCCCACTATCATCAAACACAATTGTCACTTGTGCACCAAAAGGCCATTGTAATTGGTTGAAACACGTCGTTCATGCACATAAATTCCAGTATTTCATAGCATAATTTGGCCAGCAATAGAGCGCCTCGTCAAGATTGGTTGTCTGAGCTGGGCCGAAAGCATGAAACACGGCAATTGTGAGCAGAACATTTTCGCTCTAGTCAAGCCAGACTTCCTGCGCTGAAAAAGAACAAATGAAGACAGTGAAGTCAGTTAAGGGAGAGAAAAAAAAAAAAAAGACTTCATCAAAAACGGAGACAAAGATCATTACAGCGTAACGCGTGCTAACAGCACAGCGCTAGCCTGTCACAAGCGTGCCATTCTTTCAGCACATTAGTGCTGACATCAGCATAAAAAAAGGCACTTGTTTTGCGAGCCGAGCGCTTTGCCACAGAGCCCTTTTAATGCGCTCTCGCCTCATTTGTACCTGAAGAGCGTCATTCAGGAGAGAGGCAAAAGTGGGATGTTGACACAATATATTGAAGGCGTGTGAAATATTCAGAGGCTTTGCTTCACTAATGGAGGGAGGGCTGCGTACTAGCTTCATCACACACACAGCTCTGTCTCTGCATTAAGCAGCTTCTGCAGTCTAAGGGAACTGCTTGCAGATTCACATCTCATATCAGCATTTTTATTTGTCACATAATAACAGCTACTTGGGGAGTTCGATAAGAAACTTTTTGCAAGCACAGGACAGACTGGTGTGCATTCCTAAAGCCCGGAGATTAACCCATTATGTCACGCCGGGTTAAAGACACACACGGAGCTGTGGACAATAACAGCACGACGACAGACAAAATCCTCTTTCTACTGACGCTCCAGGCTGATCATTTAAATGAATGTTTATTCTACAAGACAACAAGCAATGTGGTCGCTAATGTGGGTGTGTGTTGACAGCTGTCAGTGACCGAGTGACGCAAGCCAGCGTGCTCATGTCAGAGGCTTATGTAAGTGATTGGACAGTAATGCTGGAACTGTGTCCAGCGCAGCATTACAGCCAGATTAACAAAGGGTCTTCCAGCTCGAAAACGAACAAATGGCAGCTTCATCGAGCGCCACGCAAAGATTTCACCATGTTTCTCTGTATTTCAGTGAAGTCAGATTTGTCTAATTTACAGAATGCAATACACGGAATAAATAACTAAACATTATATTTAAGAAGGAATAAAAAATTCAATAAATAATAAAAAAAGATGGGGCATGCTGTTATAGGGAATGAATCAACGATGTAGTAGATGGTGCTGTTACAACCACAAAGTTGATTCATTTCCTTTAACATGTGCCAAAGTGTTTTAGTCCTCTTATACAACAGCAATTTATTCTTTAATATATTAATGTACATCTGATCAGTTTAAAGCTACATTTAATGATATGAAATGTCTGTGAGACAAGTTCCTGTTATCGTTTACATTATATACCAGCCTCTCTTTTTTCACGCTCTCGAACGTAGCAAGACAAAAAATAAATAAATAAAAGAAATGCAGCTTGTCATGTTACTGAGAAACCAGACAGTGCAAAGTCCTCTGACCTGCTGACTGGTAGGAAAAAAAAAGCTCTGACGCTAAATGTAAAATAAATCTCTCCATACAGAAATCTACACCATAGCAATTATATATTTTTTGCTTTGTTAAATAACAACACTTTCTCAGTTGTTTATTATTAACTTCTTATTATGTGAAGCATTTGTTACAGTGAATGAGCTGTTATTAGAGAAATTGACGTTAGGACAAGCGCATTAATATAAAGCGGTAATGCGTCTTACAGCTGAAATTACCGTCACAGCTGCTGTTGTAGAAAATTACTCAACGGCTTCTGACCGAACAGATTCGAGAGTTCAGCTGTGCAGTGGTTTTGCTATAAGTGAGGGATAATCCACGGCTAGGTGTGTTACACGGTTTTAATCCATGACGTGGAGGAAAAGAACAAAGATGAAGTGGATGCCGCCGTGGAGTGCATTAAAATCTCGTAACACACACCTAGCCTTGGATTATCCCTTCATTTTTCCCATGGTCACTCGCCAGCATTGATAAGTTAAAGCTATCATTGATGTTTGCAGTGCAAAATCTGACTTAAAGGATAAAAAAAACAAAAAAAACAGCTAATTTTCATTAGTTATTTTACATACGAGTCGTTAGATCTAGAATTCTGATTGCTCTAAATCATACACAGAGAGAGAGAAAAGAAAGAGACACAAAGAAAGAAAGAGAGAGAGACACAGAGAGAGAGACACACAGAGAGAGAGAGCGAGAGACAGAGAGTGATTTACGTGCATACGTCCCTACTAATAATGAACTGTATGCAACTGTATGTTACTATGGTTACAATGGTTCACTGGCACCGCATAAATTTTGAACGGTGATTACACGCACTTGAACTTCCTGTGCTTTACACGGTTTGAACGCACACCTTCCAGCCAATCAGAATCAAGTATTCGGACAGACCATTGTATAAACAGAATTAGTATATAGATTATAGAATATGTAATGACATACAGAAAGACGGAAATATTGTGATAAAGATAAACAAACAATATTCAAGGATGTATTCTGCGACCCTATAGACCCACTCTGATGGACAGACAGACAGACTGATGGACTGATGGATGGAATTGCCTTCTCTTTTTTTGGTTGCAGCGGCGTCATACTGTAATATAACAGAACGGAGCAGGCTCTCTTTCTACATTCCCCTTCGAGCAGAAGAGGGAAGGTTATTTGAATGTCAGTGGCGGAGGACAGCAGTGGCACACAGGCACAGACGGAATAGCATAAATGTGTAATTTGTTTGGGGATTGTAGCTTGTTGGCATATTACCATGAGACCCAACAGACAGTGTGTTCTTCATTCAAGCTGTGCGACAACACACACACACACACACACACACACACACACACACACACACACACACGTGCACAATTGAGTCATTCCATAATAAAGGTCAAAAAGTCACATTATATGTTGAGAAATGGAAAACATCTGTGATTAAATATTTATGAAGATTAATGAAGTTGTCGGGTTATTTTGACTGTGTGTTTTTTTAAATTCTTCACTTGTAATCATGGTCATGGTCATCTGCTCATCTGCTAGCTATGATCCACAAGAGACATGAACAGATCTGAGAGGCAGTGAGGCTGATATATATGAGAGAGAGCAGAGAGAGAGAAGAGAGAGAGGGAAGAGTGAGAGAAGAGAAAGAAGAAAGCGAGAGAGAGAGAGAGAGAGAGAGGGAAGAGTGAGAGAAGAGAGAGAAGAAAGCGAGAGAGAGAGAGAGGGAAGAGTGAGAGAGAGAGAAGAGAAAGAGAGAAGAAAGAGAGAGGAGATTAAACACTCTTCACTCGTGGGCTTTTCCTGTAAAGGCTGAAGTGGCTGTGTAACTCCACTCTGGCTGCCTGCCTTTAGGCTGCTTTCAGCAGGGAACTCGTGTGCATCTGTGTTTGTTTGCACGTAATGCCATTAATTTCCCCCAACCACCCCCCCACCACACACACAATATTTCTGAGGATACTGCAGCCTGGGTTTCTGTCTTTTATTGGATACACTCGAGCCTCTCACGTATACTGAAACGTCTTCTCTGTCTCCTATTCTGTCGGTTTATGGAGGAGGAATGATGTGGGCACTCGTTTATGTGCTGCTGTGGCAAAGACTGACAAGCTTCCCAGATGTGAGTGAGTCTGTGTGCGTGTGTGTGTGTGTGTGTGTGTGTGTGTGTTCAGGGGGAAAAAGGATGCAGGGGAGCATGTGTGCTGTGCTCAGATCTCTGCCATGCCCCACCACCCCACCTGAGCTCTCTCTATGTCTCTGATCAATGATAGGTGAAGCACATTCTTTAGATGTGGAAACTCCCGTGCCACAGGAAGGCCGTGTCTCACCGTGTCACTGCACACTCTACTCCCGAGAGAGCAAAAGAGAGAGTGAGGGGGGAGAGAGAGAGAGAGAGAGAGAGAGAGAGAAAACGTGGAATATTTTGTTTTGCATTGTGCCTAAACCCTGTGCTTTTCCAACATACATGAATCAAATGCGGTAGTTGGAAGGAACAGCACAGGTGTGAGCTTTACGCAAGCATAAATATTTATAGTCGATCGATAAGTCGAGCTGAAGCCTGAGGAAAAACACTTGATATGTCAATCATTTTGGGCATCTAAATTTGTCATTTGCTCCACAAACTACACGTTTGCTGCAGAATGAGGAATTAAAAGCTGTTTGCGGAGTGGAAGCTGTCTGTGTTCCGACGTCTGCTATTTTTGGTCATAGACGCCACGCGCGAGACGAGGCTTGACGTCGCACCACACCGACAGTAGCACTCACTGAAGCCGAAACTTCACACAAGAGCTTTCTGATTGGCTGTCGCAGGAGCAGTGCTGTTCTAGGTCCTGTTCTGGGCTTTCAGAATCGAAGATCTTAAACAGTGCCATGATGTCTCTTAGTATTATTATTATAATAATAATAATAATAATAATAATAATAATAGGGGGCATGGTGGCTTAGTGGTTCACATGTTCGCCTCGCACGTTCAGGGTTGGGGGTTCGATTCCCGCCTCCGCCCTGTGTGTGGAGTGTGGAGTCCTTCAAGGGTTTCCTCCAGGTTCCTCCCCCAGTCCAAAGACATGCAATGTAGGCTGACTGGATTTCCAAATCGTGTATAGTGTGTGAATGTGTGTGTGCGATTGTGCCCTGCGGTGGGTTGGCACCACGTCCAGGCTACCCTGTGTCCCTGTGTGTAGGATAATGGATGGATCAGAAAATGGATGGATGGACAGATAATAATAATAATAATAATTATTATTAATTATTGACAACTATTACTTCACACATGCATGAAGCATTCCCTCAAAGCTTTCAGTCGAGCAAAAAAATAAGCGGTGCTTCTTAAACCATGTCGAGCCATTTCAACCCCACACGCTGAAGCGGCTCTAAGTCTCAACTGAGAGCACCATCCCTTTAGTTAAACAGTGACTCAGTCCTCACAGGCCCTGCAGGCAAGCCAGTCCCATGTGCCAGATAACAAAGAAGTGGGTGAAAGAATATATATGATGAAAGCTTCAAACCAGGCCTGCACAATTACACCGAGAAAACCTTTACACAACAACAAAGCGGCGTGTTCCTGCGCACGGGGGAATTCTCTCTCATTCTCTCTCTCAGCAAGCAGCGCCGATGCTTTACACCTGTAATTGCTGCATTAATACGCTCTTCTGCAGGAGCTCTCACTGCTGCATCGCCGAATCTGATCAGCTCTCTAGCACTCAGCCGGACTGCCACGTGGGTGCACGTATCGACTGAGGGTAGCTGTGTGGGTGCATCTGAGATGTGCGAGATGAGCTTTTACAACTGACAGAAATTGTGTAGTAACTGACACGACAAGCAGCTCTGTGAGGCTTACTCAAACCCCTACTCTCTAATCTAAATACTGCTACAGCTACCTACTAGGGATGTCACGAGAACCGATACTTCGGTACCAAGTCGGAACCAACATTCCACTTTGGTATCGAGTATCGTGTACTTTTGGTGGTATCGGTACCGACTACTAGATTTTTGGTATTGTGATGTCCCTGCTACCTACACTTACACCTCTCTGAACTTAAGCATCACCTTTAAACCACAAAAGGAAATATTTTCATTTAAAAGAAAAAAGTGAATACTAGTATTAAAAGCATTACCAGCCAAATCTTCCATACCATCGAAATGGTCATGAATTTCTAACATCTAAGACCCCTTAAATTGTTGTTAAATAGAATAAATAAATGAATAAACGAATAACTGAATAAATACTTAAATGTATTAAAAATGTTAAATGTATACACATTATTTCTTCATTTTTATGCATATAAATGCATAAAAAATATAAGCAGTTACACAATATCAAAATTATATCATCGCATAGCCATAAATATAGGAACATAATAATTAATCATTTGATGAAGTTGTGAAGTACATTTCCACCAATGTAACAAAATAATAATAATAATAATAAAACAACAATATATCATGGTCCCTTGGGGGTCCCCAGGCCCCACTCTGAGAACTGCATTGCATTACAGGTACATTTGGTCATCAGAAAGTGATGAATACATGGCACCCAGCCATCAACACACACTTCCTCCAACATGTGGATGTTTTATGTGGATGTGTGTGAATGAATTCCCAAACCCTTACACACACCCATCCTGAGGCTGATTTAGCTCAACCCAAGACAAAGCTCTCCTCTCTGTAATAGCAACAGTGAACATTTCCAGTGCAGTGTGTCTGTGCGTTTGTGCGTGTGCGCGCGTGTGGACAGCTAATGGAGCCAGTGAAAGGCACTAACAGTCGACCTGCAGCTGGGTCCCCTATCAACACTCTGCCCAAGCCACTAATGCAGTCAGCATGAAAATACTGCTCACATGAACAATATTTAAATGGTATATAATTTCTCAAAAATGATTACAATGTAATTTCCATCCATTCCACCACTTTCCAATCCATTTACATTGGAGACAGAACAAATATAAATGGATTAAAAGATTCCCAAATCAGTGCAGATTACTTTAATAATATTACCACTACTACCAACTAATAATAATAATAATAATAATAATTATATAATAATAATACTTTATTTTATATATTATTATACAGCATAAAATTATACCCTCTATACTTTTTTTAATACTACTGTCCTGGCCTGAAAATACACCCTGGCATATTTAGGAGACATTGAAGTTGACTGAAGCAGCTGGCATAAAATATTTTCCATCTACACAATGGCAGTGTGGTATGTTATGGCATGCAATGTTATGGCATGTGTATGTATGGGCTTCTCCTGAGCGTCTGCTCTAGTGGCAGTTTTATAAACCTTAAGACCGACTGTGCTTTTCAGCACATAAGAGGGGAATTGAATAAACACCTGGTCTGTTATTTTGCCCCCCGACTCTCGGCATATCCACACATGATACACAGGCCAGGCTGTTCGTGTCGAACACATAGTATCCTGAATTTCCTCACATCCCCCTCTCTTGACTCAGGCCTGTGCAAAACTATTCTTAGCACCTTGTTATTCATAGAGCTCAAGTCTGGCTAAATATAAGAAGCATTGGACTCACGCAATGTAAATGTTTAAAAATCGATATTTTTGAATGGAGGGATTCTTTAAATAATGCAGATGCACAAGGGCAGACGAATTCAAACTTTGTTCACTACAAGAGTGCCCACCTCCAAGTTTATTATTATTTTTTTTAGAAATTCCACCAAAAACAAAATTAAATAAATAAATGAATGGAACAAATGTGTCAATACTCAAAATACTGCATCGTATACATATAAAACTCACACCAAGTCATCCGGTGTGGCCACGTCTTTTACGGTCTATAATAAACTGGCTAATAAAATAAAATTAAATAAAAGAATTTATTAATACTCTATTCTTACAAAACAGCAGACCTACCAATCAAATTTGATCTCTCTTTTTTTTATATATATATATATATTTTGGATCATTTCTGGCTAGAATTTTTGGTGCATGCTGAATAAAAATAAATGACTGACATCAGATGTATACTTGTGTAATGTTAGCTAAATGGTAGATTTGATAGATCTCACTGATGAACCTCAACCAGTGAAACACCTGGAAACTGATGGAGCTTAGAAGACTGTGTGAAAGATTACTGAGGGGAGATGTGGGAAGGGGGCGGGACTGTCAGTCATTTCAGATGCAGGTTGATTGGCTCATTCGCAGTTTTGCTCTTTGTTGGCGTATTGGTGAGTAATAACTCATTCTAATGTACTCTGATGGTAAAATGCAAAGCTCTTGCACAAAGTACATAAAGGCAGGCAGGTCTGATATAGACATGTAAATATATATTTTTTTGCATTTTCCATGTCACACCTGGGTCCACCTCCGCAATCCTTTCCCCACAGGCAAAAATTGCAATACCAAAAACAGTCTACATTTCACACAAGTGATCGCAACGTCACATAGCATTCGTTGAAAGCAAAAGCAAAACAAAAGGTTTTTCCACCTCCTCGATTATTCAACAGCTCCCTAAACTGGTGACTAGTGATCTATACAACCCCTAGTATGCACTCTTGATTTGCAGTGCTTTAACGGAGACTGTTTACATAGTTCACATGGAGTTTGGCTTCTGTTTACATGATCAATCTAGAGTACAGAGTAGAGAGGACAGTAGCTCCTGACCCAGCTGACCCTGTCTGTCAGCCCTCGTAGCCGCTCAGTCCTTTAATGAACGTGTCACACTGCTACATCTCATCAGTTTGCATTAACAGCCCATGTGTTGTGACCTCGAAGGTCAAATCAGAACAAAGGCAAAGAAACAGAGGAGGTCTAGATGAGTGTATTAAGGAATCTATAACGATTCTGGTGATACTGTGTGAATCGAACAGCATCATCTGAGTTTATAATTACCCAACAGGCTGGGTAATTCTAGTCCTGAGAATCGTCTCTGTTCTCTCATCAGCGATGGAACGGAGCAACTAAGGACAGACTAGATGAATGACATCAATGGCTTCAGCAAGACACTGCCAGAGATGTGTGACTGAGACAAATGGGGCTTGTTACATTAGCGAGCGATACTGAATCCCTTCATCCGCTGATAAAGCCCCGATAGAGCTGTAACCAGACGCACCCAACCTTTCCCCAGATCTGCTGTGTCATGGGACCTCCAAAAGAGAGCATTCTCAGGCATTCAGCTCGGCTGACTACTATCTCTCTCCTTCCATCTGCTTACTTCTTTATCTCTCTCTCTCTTTTTCTATCTGCACGCCTGTCTTTTCTCAGGAAAGCGCTTATGCAGTTACAGCATTCTGACCTATGGAGTTCTGTCATGTCTGGCAGGTGAATTTAAAAAGAAGAGAGACAGAGCGAGAAACGCTGAGGAAAGGAGGCCTGGGACGAATAAAGCTGTAACTTGCACTTGAATTCAATGGAGAGATGAAGGGCTTTCATGTCCAGCAACAATGGACTGTGCTAGAAATACTCTGTGACGGAGAACGACTGAATCGTTCGCTCTTTGCTCAGGCAAACAGAGCTGCTGTTCTAACAAATGGAGGCTAAGTGAATATTCCCCTGATGGAATGCTAACAGTCGAGTTAACATATTCCTCCCATGCGTTTGCCATTATTTCTCCTGGAATTCCTGTAGAATTCCTGCAAACGTTTGACAAAATGAAGAAAAGCAACACCTAGGTAAAAAGAACTAACTTTTGCATTTCTCCTCTCTAGATTGCAAGGCACATTTCGTTTAAAACCACAGGCCATGCTGCATGAGAAGTGGCCTCGGAAGAGTTTACACACCATGCTAGCGCCTCCTGCACCACTGTTTTACACAGCGCTGTGAACTCTGGCCTGCTTCCATTCAGCGAGGGTGGATTATGCAGCCAGGCGCAAAGCATTCTTCCCTCGCTTTTGCATGGCTGCAAGACGAGGGCAGTAAGTGCATGTGTACGTGTGCGAGGAGTGTGTGTTTTTTTGTTTGTCGTATGTGTAGGTGTTATGTCTGTGCTGTGTGTGTTGGTGAGTCGAGTCAATACTTTTGGTTGAACCTACCTCAACGAC